ATCACAGAAGCCTACATCCTTGGCCATGGAGACCCTATTACCTATTAGGCAGGCCAGTCTGAGTGCTTTCTTGAGATTTTCAGAATTGAGACGAAGGGAGTCCTTCATCTGGACCTAAGCACTCAGGATGCTGTGTAGAACTTGGAAGAAAGAAGCCACTACACAGAGAGGAGGAGAAACAAGGAGAATCTCACATCATTTGTGTTCATGAAGTGCTCTTTACCTCTACAGATTAGGGGTATGATTAGATGAGCTAGTAAGTTCTTTTTTTTGCCCAAGCTAATAGATTTTGTTGTTTCTAGCCAAGAGTCCTTGCTAATACAGAAGCTGATATTATAGGATTTTGTTTTATTTGGGTTGGTTTTTAATGTTTAAAATGTTAGTTTCACACATAAGCAGAAAAACTGACCCAAAAAAATACCTTGCAGCATCATTCTCCAAAAGAGCAAAATCAAGGATGTTGGGTTACTGTAGAAAGGAATTAAAATTTAAACACTGAGCAGGATATTTCCATTTGAATTATGTACAAATTCCTTATTCACTCTGTACCACAAGGGTATCTACAAACATGGATAATATCTAAACTGTGAATGAAAATTCACAAAGTGCTTTGAGTAACTTGGAAAACAGTATTATTGAAATCAAGTGTATATAATGTCATACTTAGAAGCAATGACCTTCATTTAGTACCTCTGAAATATTATGTACACATGTATGCAAATGGAAAAATGAAACCTGTTGAAATTGTTCCAGGAATGGGGGATGGAGGGATAAAGGAGAATGATGGAGGGGTGAATTCAACTATGATATATGATATATTGTAAGAACCTTTTGTAAATGTCACAACGTACCCTCAGTAATTTCAAAATAGAAACTAAAAAAAAAAAAATCTCTGTAAGATGGGAGTGGTACTTTTTTTGAGGTTGTTGATAAAAAGCCTTACGTGAATGTGGGAACTCTCGCTTTAACCTAAGATGACATAACCAGAAAGGAAGAGACTGCCAACTACTTGGAGTGTCCTTTGCAGAGCTGATTTACATTTGAAAAGTGGACTTGTGTGGTGAATGCTTTCTGCAGATTATCAGGAGACTGAGATCCTGCGTGACATGTAGGAATGCAATTTGGGGGTATAAATGCTAATGTGACTATTCATAAGAGAAGTTGATCCCTATTAGAATAGGGTTTGATAGCTCTGCCAGTGGGAATCTTCTTTCCTATTCAAAATCAAAACTGAAAGTTATTCCTCTTTGCTTGCATCACAAAGATACCTTCTGTATCACAGTGTTACTTACCATGACCCAGACCCTTGAGTTTCTTGGAATATGACTGTTTATTCTTAAAATGCACAATAGCACACAGATTACAAAAGAAGTGTCATGGAAAGAGAAGAAATCAAGTCACTGAGAAACCATGAATATGTATAAAGAAACCAATTTTATTTTTAAGGTAGGCCTTTTGAAATGACCACATCATAATCCCTGGAATTTGGTAATATGCTACTTTATATGGTAAAAGAGATTTAATAGGTTGATTGAATTTAGGATCTTAAAATGGGGAGATTTTTTTTTCTAGTTTATCCATACAGCCCAATGTAATCACAAGGGTCCATATCAAAGGGAAGCAAGACTCAGAGAGTGGGGGAGAGAGAGAGGGGAAGAGAAAAGAGACATAGGGAGAGGGGAACAGGGGAAGGGAAGAAAAGAAGGAAGGAGAAAGAAGGAGTAGAGAGAGATTGACTTGAAAATATCAAGCTGCTGGCTTTGAAGACAGAGGAAGGAATAATAAGGAAATAACACACACCTGATTTGATAAAGTTAAATGCACACACTCAACCAAATGAATGATTTTTCTTTTAAGATAGAAAAAGGAAAGGTGAAACTTTCTTCTACCTACAACTACCACTTTGCTTGATGGGAAGCTATGCTTGGTGGGGAGGAAAAGTGACTGAAAGGAGCAGAGTAAGAGGTTGGGCAAATGAAATGGATCCCCAAGAAAATGGAAGATCATTGATGATAATTCCTAGGTTATCATATCGACAAATTAAAGGCCTGCTAAAGCGCCATGAGATGCAGACATAAAACTATGTTCATGCAAAGATTCCCTGGACCTGAAAATCACCTACCTGCTCATTTGTTCATTGTCCACCCCCACTGCAGATGGAAGACTGAGCATTTGTTCAGCCAGCTCTGCAGTGCCTGGAACGGTCTGACAGCCCATGAGACGTGCTGAGTAAATGAATGAATGATGGCACTTTTTCCTCAACAGAAAATCAGACCACCAATTCTGACAAAGGTCTGACACAAAACTGGGGACTGGCAGTGTCTCCAGGAATAAGAGACCACCTCTGGGGACCAAGAGCAGGGAAGCCTGCTGTTCCTCACTCGCACAGAGCTTTGTGGTGTTTAAACCACAACAAAAACAGTCCTTTCAACAACTCTGGATGGATTCTATTGTCATTCCACTTGATAGTGAAGAAACTGAGGCACAGGGAGATTTGGTTTGGCTGAACTGAAATTAAGTACTAGTCTGTTTTGCAGGACAAAAATTGTCATAAATGTTTGTGTAATATTTCACAACATCTGTCAATTACCAAATGCCAAACACCTCACAATTCCTCATTTCATTCTTTCAGCAACCCTGTAAAGTAGCTACATTACTCTATTTTTATAGATAAGGAAACTGGTAAACACAGAGAAATAACTTGCTCAAAATATATGGCTAGTGATACAGCTATCCCTACATGTACCTAAGCCAAAATTTATGCTTTTGACCAGACCATGGGTCCAGCAGAGATGTGAGAGAAGGGACAGAAATTTCGAACTTAACAGAGCATAGATTTGAGGAGATGCCCTCCCCCAAATAACTCCTATATTATACTGTCTCCAATATAGCAAATAACAGGAATAAAGGTGAAAAATGTAGAAAATGATGTCTATATCTACAATGGTACAATAACATTAAGGGGAACAGGGAACTTTTCTAATGATTTTTATGACTACATATGTAACATTTAATAGTTCAAACTGAGAAGAATGCAGTTAAATTTAGAGCTAACAAAAGCTCCCATTCTCTACCTTCTTTACAATGCAGGTTGGGCTCCACTGCTACTTTGTGGAGGTTTGTCATTCCTATTGCAGTTTACTAAGGGAAATTATGAAATGCCTTTTCTGGAAGTTTCTAAACACCAGTTTTTCTTCTTATAGGGTAGGTTAATGGCAGTCTTTTCTGAAGTCAGGAAGATCAGTGGGATAATCTCTCTAAGTTTTTCCTTTCATATATAATATAGGTATGCAAATCTGTAAAAATGTAAAAGAATGTTCATTAAAATAATACTGAAGAAATTTGATGCCAGACAGGAATCAGGAGAATAAGAAACACTAAAAGCTGATACAGTGTATAAAATAGTCTACAGGGCTCAGAATAGGTATGTTTGCAAGTTCTAGGGGGATGTTTTATGCAGTGGAGAAATTTTATGGATAGAAATCATTTTATTCAAATGCACATGGTTTTAAGTACCATCAAATAGTATGAGGCATTCAATGAGTTAAGATAGGACCGGTGCTTTGAAGACAATCATAAAATATCACAAGAACATGATGGTAGCAATAAGACCATGGAACAAAATTTATACTATATATCAGGTTTATGCAGCTTTGGGTATCCATAACTTTAATGTAATAAAGACAACAAGCAGCCTTCCAGTATTTCCTATATACCACGGTGATGGCTAAATGATTTTCCTGAGTCATCTCATTTATTCCTCACCCACTCTATAAAAAAAGTTATATGCCAATTCCACTTTATCAGGCAGGAAACAGAAAGGTAGAGGTTATCTGTCCAAGCTTATAGTGGCTGATCTGGCTTAAGTTTAAACCCACAAAGTCCAACTCCAGAACATAAGCTCTTAATCACGGTCATACCTCCTCTGTATGACAAAACTTGTTCTTCACCATCAAGAAGAAAGTTGTTACCTACACTGCTAATACAAAGTGAAGTGGCCAAGGGAGAAGCAAAAGCCTTTGACTGTCTTCAAACTGAACAACCTGAATTGTCCTGATCTTACCTAAGTCTCTTGGGAATTTACTCAAGTTTTGGGTAATTGTAGCTAATTTTCCCTCATGACTCTCCTTCCTGTAGGGGGTACAGGTCTGCAAGCCTAGACAAGTAGACTTTACAACTGTGTTCACATCATTCCAGCTGTTTTGTTACAAGAGTACATGTCCATTTCAGAAATTCTTAGAATAGTCTGGCACACGAAATGCCAATCATGATTGTCAACTCTCAGAAATTTGCCGTGTGTAGTTCTGGCCTCAAATAAGATTTTTTAAATGTAGTCACTCTTGTGTTTTCTCTGGAAATTCAGAGAACACAGAAATCAAAGTAAGCTTTTTAAAGTGCATGATCTTTTTTCTCCTCCTCAGCTTTCTCTGCTTGGGATGATAAGAAACTATACCACAGTCCAATATGCCAGAAATGGAAATCAGTAACATACAAGAGGTTTCTCATAAGTACTGCCTGAGTACCTACCTTTGTTACCTACATCTAGTTTTCAAGAATGGTTCACAAATAGGTAAGCCAAGGCCCTGTAAAAGAATTATATTATAAATTATATTATAATATTATAAACATACAGTGATTTTTTTGGATATTAAAATATTTTGTGGGCTAGCAGAATGGTTCATGCCTATAATCCTACCTTCAGGACATGGAGATCAGAAGAATCATGGTTCGAAGCCAGCCTGGGCAAAAAGTTTGCAAGACCCCATCTCAAACATGATTGTGCCTGTCATGCTGTTATGCAGAGAAGCACAAACAGGAGGATCTCCATCCAGGCCTGCCTAAGCCTATGTGGAAATCCTACTTGAAAAATGACTAAAGCAAAAGAGGGCTGGAAATGTGGCTCAAGTGATAGAACACCTTCCTAACAAGCACAAGGTCATGAGTTCAACCCTAAGTACCACAGGAAAAATCAATAAGACACTCTGTGAAATTATATAAAATGATTGTACAGGATACATTTTATTACTCTCTGTTTTTAAAAATGTTCAACAGCAAGTCAGCTGCTAGTCCTGGGGACAGGGAGCCACTGAGAACCTTCCTTTCCAGAAGAGGAATCTGTTCTCTGACTAAGGGATGGGTCTTGAAATGCTCAAGCACATTTTCCTGAATGAGATTCCACATCCAAACTTTCTGCTGCTTTCTTCGTTTGGCAGCCAGCTCCCCACTGGCAAGCATTAGGTCCTGGAATTCTTTCATTTTATCCCACATTTCAGTGATCCCTTCTCCAGTTTTGGCAGAAATACGAATTACCTATTAAAAACAAAGAACCAGAGAAGTTTTACTTAAAACAATAGAAAACATTTTCATGGGGACCCTGATTATTTGCCAATGAATTCTTACAGGTGTTGAAACTAGGTAAGTGGTAAAATGAGACCTTACTGCTATATGAAAGGAAACACACTGACATGTATACTGAAGTAACGTACCTAGGAGTACTAAGTGCACAGCAGAAATAAGATATTGATTCCAGGTCAAATTCTTCAGCCTGGAGATTTAAGTTAGGACTGCTCAGACAGATGGTCAGGGTCATCCTGGAGGACCCGTTAGAGTCAAAGGATGTGAAAAGGCAATGCTAGGTAGGGTTCCTAGAGGCCCAAGTGCCATAAAATGAAGCTAAGATGAGAGAACAGTCCATTCTTTCTGCTAGATTTGCTTGACTCAGCAAGTACCAAGCATCCAGTTCCCACAAGTCCAACATGGCTCCAGACTCAACACAGACGTGACTGGGGAAAATGGGAGCTGGCAGTACGGTAAGCCATCGCTGTTCTCATGTTTATAGCTTATTCTTTAACAACACAGCTGCCTTTGTGTTCTCCTGCACACAAAGCTGCCTGTATCAATATTGCTGCATCACTTCCTACGGCAACTTTCTTTTCTTTTTTACTTATTGAAAACAGCATCCAGCAAGCATAATGAAAATGGAAGTATCACATCACAAGCCTTTTCTCTGGCACTCAAATTCCAATAGAGATAATCAAATCATTTATTGCTCCATAATCTTCAGGATGGTTCCTTTCTGGATGGATTGGCTATCACTTCCAAATGACTCACATCAAGCAATCTAACCTATCACCTCACAGTCTAGTTTTTGACATCCTGTGGTGGAAAGATTATATTTAAAATCATGACCATATACTCTGGTTTCATCATATTTTTGAAACTATAATCTTCACATGCAAGCAAAGATTGATTATATGTCCAGCTTGGGACTTACATCCTCTCTTCCTAACGTATACAGTCTGCTCAGCGTGAAAATTTAGGATGGAATGCAAACTAACCTTTGGGCTCCAGACTTCTGAGCGCTTGCGGAGTAATTTCAGTGCACTCACATACTCTGCTTGTATCCTCCGTGCTGGCACAATCAAGTCTCCATCAGATTTAGTTATAGCTACAAGATCTGCCATCTCAATTATACCCCTTTTGATGCCCTAGAGAGAAAAGGGCAAGAATCAGATTTATCAAAACCGTTTCATGTAATCACAACTAGCATAAAAATGGGACAACCAGCTAATGCCATGATTTTGAAAGTTATACAGTTCATTAACTTTTCTGTATCTTCCTAAGCCTTGCATGCCAGGAATCACAATGATTTGACAGAAATTACTTAAATGCACTGGCTCTCGGGATTATGAAGTCATCTGTAACATCTCTTCCAAATTTAAAGACTAACATGATGAAACACATTCAGAGTTAGAGTAAAATAGATCATCAAGACACAACATGACTGAATGGCAGGAGACAATGCACACTTCTCTTGTGATGGATTCTGCTTCTTATCACTGAAGGATACAAAACCATCCATCATTAGGAAGCTTGAAAGGAAAACACATATGGCACTAAACATGTGCATTTCTAGAAATGAAGTCTTTGGTATTTTCCTTAATTTCATACAGCATTTTTCAATTTGCATTTAAGGACAAATAACCTGATAGCTAAAAACTGTCACAACCTCTTGATTTAAATTGTTTTATAAAATTACAGAAATAAAGGACAAAATTCAAGGGCCAAATCTTATTTTAGAAATACATTTTCCATCTAAGATTAAAATTTCTTTCAAATACTTTTAGATATTACTTACAATCATTAAATTTTAACAGTTAATGTTTCTAAATCACAACATTCATAGTTTGCTATCACCTTTTTTAGAATTTCAAAATTAAAAGAGAAGTTCTAGTATACTAAAGAATGTCTTGTCTTTGTCTGAGGTTCCTGGGAGAGAACCTCAAACTCCTTGGAATTTCTGGAACAATAGGAGTATCTCTGTAATTCCTGGTGGGTACCCGGGACCCATACCCACATTTATGCGATGAGATCACTAGGATGGGGGAGGAGCCTTACCATGCCAGAAAGATCTCCTGTATGGTTAGAGGATGGGGCTTTGTGCCATCTGCCAGACCCCTGTGGGAGGTAGGGAGCTAGAGACTGAGCTCAACTATGTGGCCAATGATTTGGTCAATCATGCCCACATAATGAAGCCCCACTAGAAACTAAGGACACTGAAGCTCAAAGGGCTTCCTGGTTGGTGATATACATCCACATGCTAGAAGACAAATGTGTCCTGAAGACACTGAAGCTTTGCATTTGGGACCCTCCCAGACCTCTCCTATGTGTCTCTTCATTGGCTGGTCCTGATCTGTAGCCTGTATCATAAAAGTCTAATTGTAGTATGATGTTTTTCTGAGTTCTGTGAGTTATTATGATAAAGAATGAAACCTGTAGGACAGGAGTAACTCTCAAATTTGTAGCCAGTTGGTCAGAGGTGTGGGTGGCCTGAGAACCCTGGAGTTTGCAGCTGGTGTCTAAAATGAGGGGAAGACCACTCCCTCAACGTGTAAAGTTTCTGACAGCTCTAGGTGGTTAATACCAGAATTACATTCCGGGAGGAAACAGATAAGCTACTATGTGGGATAGCATAGGTAAGCTACTACAATGAGATCAAGTTAAACACAAAGTGGTATCTTATGAAGAACTTTTGAACAAGTTTTCTACAAACACCTATGCAACAATGGTCTTTTTTGGCCAGAGCTATTCATTTATTCCAGTCACTTCCATGTTACATGTGGAAGAATTTAAGTTCTGTGATTAGCTCAAAGTCATATATTACATTACTACAAGTTGGGAAAAAATATGTATAGCAAATCTGTCCATAACTCAGGTATTTTAGCCAATGTGAATGATGGTTCGTTCTCTATACTATTTTCAATTTAATTTACAAAACACAACACTGGAAATTTATCATATACTTTGTACTTGGGGTTGGGATCAAAATCATTACCTGCAATTCATCTCCTCCTGCTGGTGGCAGTAGTAAAACAAACATGTCAACCATGTCAGCAACAGCAAATTCTGACTGACCCACACCTGGAATTTAAAATTACAACTATATTCTAAAATATTCAGAGTTATTACAATTTATCAACCACATTGCTCATCATTTCCATTCCATCCCATTCACTCATACTCATGGTCACATACCCCTTTAAACACTTCATGTCTTAGTCCATTTTCTGTTGCGGTAACAAAATACCTGAGACTAGATACTTAACAAAAATAGAAGTTCTTTTGCCTTTCAGTTCTGAAGACTGGGAAGTCCAAGAGCACAGAGCCAGCATTAGGTTGGCATCTGGTGAGGGCCTCTCACTGCATCATAACATGGTGGAGGGCATCACATGGTGAAACAGAGCAAGCATGCTAGCTCAGGTCTCTTCCTCTTTTTAAAAAGCCACTACTGGATCTCACCTAATCCTAATTGCCTCCCAAAGGTTCTATATTCTGATATCATTAACATGAATTTGGAGATTAAAATTTCCAACACATGAACTAGGGTAGGCGGGATCACATTCAAACCATAGTATGTCACCTCCTAAGAATTTATTAAATGTCACTGTCTTATATTCTAAGCAAACGGATTATCCTTTGACCTCTCTCCCTTCCTTTTTCCCATTAGACCCATTCTTTGACTGAATGGAGACCCCATGTCCATTTTCTCCATACTCTCAAAGCTCTTTTTGGCTCTTCCTTCATCAGGGATTGGCATGAACACTAAGACAATACATGTTAATACTTCTTTTTTTGCATTTTCATCCTTATTTCTACCTGAAAACCCTCAATTATAGATCAGTCCAACTATTTGTATTCTCTCCTCTCTAGGCATGCTGGAAAAATGTTTCAACTGTGGACAGGCACCACAATAGGGTGGTGCCTGATCTCCAGCATCTGCTACATCTTCCTCTCTGCCCAGTGAAAGCAATCCCCCTAAATGTCTTCAGCAAGTTTCCTTCCCCATTTCTCACAATAGCAATTCTAAACACTTGCTCTCTCAGTCTCCCCACTTGATGCTAACCTTGGCACTTACCTCACAGAGCAAATAATGGAAGCCCTTCCTCAGTTTCTCTCTGTCCCCTTCTCGAACAGATACCAATGCAGCCTTGCCATGCTCTCTGCAATCTCAACCTGAGAAGTATTGCTGAAGACGAACCTTTCATTCCCTCCGACTTCCCTAGGTCCTCACTCCTCTTTGTCTTTAACCCTGCCTTTGTCTATAGGCTCCTGATCCTAGGTTCACCATATTAAATGTGCTCAAGTTTTTCTCATCTTAAAACCAACAAAACAAACTGACAAAAATTCACAACTTTATTCACCCATTACCATATTTCTCACTTTGTCTTTACAGTCAAGTTTCTGGAAAAAAGTAATTTATGCTTGCTGTTTCCACATTAATCTCATCATCTCCTGCTCCACTGAAACTCTGGAAACTCCCTCCTTGGTGTGGCAGAAACTTCCAGTTGCCCGTTTCTCCCCATTTCCTCACCCCAATGTTTTTAGGAGCATCAGTACATCAGGTGAGAGACCATATATTCAAGGTCTTCTTCAGCTAGACATGAGTAATAAGTGAAGGCAAAGATCATTAGATGGGTTTTCCAGGGAAGTTCTCTAAAGAAGGCTAATCTAGCTAGGAGGTGTACCTCTCCTGCCTACCTCTCCTTACTCCCTTATTGCACCTTCCTCCTTCCTTGTATCTAGAACACAGATATGACAATCAGAGCTTCAGCATCCATCTTTCAACCATGAGTAGCCTTGAGGATGGACAGTAAATGCTATGGATGCAAAGAAGGCAGATAGAAGCAGTGTGGAGCACTGAAGGCATTACAGAACCACCACACCTGCTCTGAACTGCCTGCCTCCAGGGATCTTTTATTTACAAGAAAGTAACCTGTTATTTGAGTTACTGGGACAAGCAGCTCAATACAACTTCTACATAACATGCACTTGGTTTTTATACTTTGATTGTTCCCCTTTGATTCTCCTACCACTTAGTCAACTCTTCCTCCATCCAACCTTAAATGGTGGAGTTCTTAAAACCCAGTTCTGGTTGCCATTAGGAACTGAATTGTGCCTGCCCTTCCCCAGTTTCCATGGTGAAACTCTAACTCTCAATGTATTTGGAGATGGGGCATCCAAAGAAGTTAAGTGCTTAAAAATCTGTTAGTAACAGAAACAAAGAATTTATCTGTCTTACAAAGACAAGTTAAAGTCTTAGCTCCTGCAAATGGTCTTTCTGGAACTTCTTCACCCATGCCCATCTCTGTGAATTTCTATGGTATGCTAATGAGGTTAAATGAGGTCATAAGGATGGGGCCCTAATCCAATAGAACTGGTGTCCTCATAAGAAGAGGAAGACACTAGGGGAGGGTGTGCACAGAGAAATGCCTATGCAAGGACACAGCAAAAAAGACAGCCATCTGCAAATTAGGTGAAAAGGTCTCAGAAGAAACCAATCCTGCCAGCACCTCAATCCTGGACTTCCAGCCTTGAGAACTACAAGAGAATTAATTTCTGTTGTTCAAGCCACCTGGTGGGTGGTATTTTGTTAAGGCAGTCCTAGCAAATTAATATTGTTATCTTCCATTTTCACCCCATATTTCTCCCAGGTGATTTGAACCAAAGTCAAAACTTGAATTACAAAACTATAAGTGATGTTAGTAACTGTTAATTAATGTCTGTATTTCTTGCCCAGTCATTTTTTTAAGACAGTCACCTGGACACCTAACAAGCACCTCACACTTAATATATTCATAATTGAACTCCAAATCCCCATTTCCACAGCATTCTGTATTATCTTCAATCCCTCTTCCCTCTTTATCTTATCACGGATAAAGTCTTACCAATTTACTCTCAATTTTTTAACTCTACCTCACCTTCTCCATTTCCATTTCCTGTTTAGTTCAGAGCCCCGCCATCTCTTTCTTTGTTAGTACACAGTCTCCTGACTGGTTCTCTGCCGTTCCTCTAGCTCTTCTTCGAATCATTCTATATGTTCTGCTGCCAGTGAGCTTTCCAAAATGTGTATTTGATTTTCTCACATTCTTGCTTACCCTGCAGTGGCTTCCCACTCCTTTCAGGGCGAACTCTAAACTCCTCAGCAGGACACATAATGCCCTTGATAATCTGGCCCTGGCCACTGATCCAACCCATCTTCCTTCATCCTCTGGGTTAAGTGGCCTGAGCAAGCTGCGCTTCTCTGAATGAGCCATGTTTCTCACTCCTCTGTATCTGTGCAAATGTCTTTTGTCCCACACTCCAATTTAACTCCAATTCTTCCTTCAAAACTGAGTTCAGCTGTCACCTCCTGTAGAAAGTCTTCAATGATTTCCCCAAATATGAATTAGTTGTGTCACAAACATTTATCACACAGTAACACAACAGACTGCCACTCCATAAGAATATGAATTTCTTGGGGTTTTCATTGCAGAGTCTTCATTACATGTAAAGATATAAGAATGAAATAAAACATATCCCCACAACCAAAAGTTACCCAACTACATTCCTTTCTTAGTGAATGTTGCAGACATGAAATAAGCTTACACGAAACAGGGTCTGTCTTTTGCTTACATAAGCCACCCTAGTGCGTACGGTTCTTCTTTAGCACATCTAACATTCACCTTACGTAACCATTATAAAGACACATGGCTTACTCTCACTCTTTAAATGATAGGCTCTTTGGAGGGTACCGATTATAGCCTATGTCATATTTCCTATGGAGTCTGGGTATTATCATGTATTTATTTAATTGTACCTTTATTACGTATCTGCCAAAAAACAAAATGGAATTAGTTGTCACTACAACTATCATTTTTATGAAACAGTATCACACTCACCTACAGTTTCAATAAGAATCATGTCATATCCACCTCCTTCACACAACAGAATAGCTTCATTTGTGGTCCTTGTCACACCTCCTAAAGTCCCACTGGTAGGAGATGGCCTGATGTATGCATTCATATCTTTTGATAGCTCAATCATTCGGGTTTTATCACCTAAAAGGGATCCTAAAACACATAGTTACATTTTATATCATGGAACAGTTGTAAGGGACAATTACAAATCAGTCAGCTTCAAGGGGATAGACTTTTTGACATTTCTTCCCAAATCTCAAGCTGCACTTGGTATTACTGAGCTTGCCTGTTTCACTGTGTACAATCATGTTGATTAATCTTTTTAACATTCCAAGCCAATAAAACCTATAAGGCCTTCCCACTGACCAAAGCTTCAATTCTAGATCCTTCAGTCTGGCACTGAAGGCCCCACTTACCTGTCAAATTCCAGCTTCCAGCAGTCCCAAGCTAACCCTCCCAACCAGCCTGACAGGGTGTTTTTTTTTTACTGCCACCTCCACACTGGTATGTTTACTTCCTTCCCAGCTGCCAGACACATCTCTTCTGTTTTCTCACCACTGGTTTACAAAGGGTTAAGGCTAGGGTCTGCATCCTGGCTCCTTTCTTCCTGGCCATTAGATTTGGGGAGGTCACTTTGCCTTCCTGAGCTACATCTCTCCACAGTTACATAACAAGGATAAGAGGCCACTGGGAGACTCAAATGAGATAATATACAGGGATGGAATGTGAGCTTTAAAACTTGTTAATAACAGAAACAAAGAAATTACCTATCTCACAAAGACAAGTTAAGGTAGTAGCTCCTGTATATGGTCTTTCTGGAACTTTTTCACCCATGCCGTCTCTGTGACTTTTATGGTATCTGCCAGCATCCTGGACATAAGAGAACTTTGGTATCCTTCCCCTTTCTCTTATTACCATGAGCGCTCTCCACTCCCCATTCTTTTACAGTAAGTGACATTTTTTCAGTCTTATCTAAATGCTAAACAAACGCAGCATCTTTAAGCTGCTCTTCCACCTACTCTGTTGCTTCTAACCATTTCCTAGTTAGAAATTTTGGAGCCTGCACTAAATGCAAAGTAAGCTGAATAGATGGAAAACTATTCATACAACCTATTTTTGGGGTTAATATCTGCATGTCTTACCTCAATCTTGCCCCAAGGGAAATTTGGCAATGTCTAGAGATGTATTTACCTGTCATGAGTGGGGGTGGGATGCTCTGGTATCTGCTGGATAGAGATCCTTCAATTTGTTGTGGGGATAGCTACTCCCCACAACACAGAATCGCATGGCCCCAAATATCACTAGTGTCAAGGTTAAGAAAACATGCTTTAACAATGTAAGTTCATTGCCTATGGGACATTGTCTTAGACATATTGTACACTGAATGCTAAACAAAGTGTTTGTAGTAGGCACTCAATCTAGTACTCACAGAATAGAACTGGTTGTATTTTGAGTGTACTGCAGTATTCTGGCAAACAAGGCTCACAAATTCTAAAAGAATCAAAGCCTTCAAAGTACTATTACCTTTTCTTACTTCCATTTAGCCATATAATAATATATAATAACGTGAAGATATACTGTTATTCTGAGCTGAGTATTTATTTTTACTTTGCCTAAGGGCTATTTTTTCTATACAGGATGCTAAAGATTGAGAAGTTCTTTACAGATACTCTTTTCCATTACAACTCCAGTTTAAAGTCTTCTCCTAAGTTCTAATTCTAGAGTATTCACCTACCATATACCTCCACTACCTTACTTACTTCACGTAAAACTTTTTCCTAAAGTAATTTTCTGCATGAAATCATCCCTATGAAAGTCAACAATCTGCCAAGTCAAAGCTATGCTTTGACCCTAAACTGTTAGGGGTTTGCCCTCAGGGTGATCTCAAAGTTATTGCAGGGATCCATGAATCAAAGCACAAGGATTCACTATAGACAAAAAACAGGCTTCTCACACTGTAGTGCTATTTTCCAAATGTGTATGCTGTTGTAAAAAGGCGGAAGTATAAATTTATAGTAACCATTTATATTCATGCATTTTTTTCTTTCAGAGTGTCTCTGTATGTATACACTTGTGAATAGAGAGAGAGAGAGAGAGAGAGAGGGAGGAGAGGGAGAGAAACAGTCTGAGAAAGGGCCTTCACTTTTGATTTAAATTACAGCTACGTAATTTAATCAAAGACTACTTATAACATCATTTCTGCTATCAACTACCATCTCAGGTGACTATTTTCTTTTTCAGTGGGAATATTCAAGAATACTGTGAGTGTGGAGAAAGGTCTTCTCACCTATATGAAAAGAAGGGCCACTTACAAAACAACCTTCGTGAAATTGTTGATTTTGACAAAGTTCTTAATAGTGAATAAAGCAGACAACACATTGATTTTATCTTGACACTTGTGAGTGGAACTTTTTTTTTTTAAGTTAACCTTTCTTTTATAGTGAATCAAAACCTTTGAATGCTCTGAGCTATATTTCTCAGTAAGCGGTAACAGGAATTGTTGTCCACTTCTCTGTTGACAAAGGACCCTGAACTATGATTATATTTCATGGAATACCACAGTATAAAAAGCAAACACTTCCCAAGGCACCCTGTATTTATCCCTTTACAGCACGTTACGTTGTAGTGGCTGTTTTCTTGTCTATTTCCCTCAGAAGACCTGAAGTGCCCGAAGTCCAAGAGCACTGGGTCTTATTCACATTACAGAACACAGTACCTTCTGTGCATAATGCCTCCCCTACAGAAGGCATTCAAATATTTGTTACACAAGTAACTAATATGAGAAGCCTGAATCAGAGGGCAAGGGAAGAAAAATCTTTCCTGAGTATTTAGGCAGTATGCTTTATGTTTTCATTAAATGATCCTTTGAGGAACTAAGTTTATATTCATTGTATCTCTGATGAGCTGCAAATTAAACATTGAGTGATTGCATGACCTCCAATCAGTAAGTAATTGCTGAACACTGTGCAGTGTACAATGTCCTATGCTAAGTGCTGTAGGGGGAATAGCAATATATTACATGGTCCCTCTAAGAGCTTTCTGCTTAACTGGACATATCATATAAGCAAGCGACAAGTTATAAACAGCAGTAGGGTATTTTCTGAAAGCTTAAGAGATGTTACAACAGGAAACAAATGAGCAGTAAGGAACGTTTTCTGAATGGTGTAGCCACTGATGCAGCCAGCATCAGGAACAGCAGCAGGAAAGGAGGGTGTGACCTTACACATAATTGCCAAAGGGCCAAAATTTGCTTTTGATTATCTTCAACTTCTGGCACCTATCATCCCAGCTCTCTGCATACCTGCTGAGCTGCCACAAGCTGACCGCCCTCTGCAGAGTTAAATGATCCCAGCACCTATGGTAGTTTCCACTTTGCTCTGCACAACTGGAATCACTCCTTCAGTGAGCACAGAGGGGTCCCCTAACTGCAAACTCCCACTAAACTGAATAGAGCCCCCACAAGCTCTGCAAGTGAGAAGGAATCAGGCATACTCACCACCACTTGCGCAAGAAGAGGGGTCCACAGCTAGCACAGATATTTTGTGCCCTCTCTCAGTAAGCATTTTTCCAAAATACTCTATAAAGCTTGATTTTCCAGCACCAGGGGGCCCCGACAATCCTACAGTAAAAAGACAGATCTTCTAATTTAATGAATTAAATGAAATCAGTGCTATGATCAAATTTATTGAAAAAAAAAAAACCCGGGACTGTCTTCTATTTCCCACGTTTTATTAAAATCATCATTAATATATTTTAACATGCCCTAAAGCAGAAAACAAAAATTCATCTCTTTAAGTCCTGAGTAATGGTGATATAGAAAGGACAAAATTCACTTTCAAAAATTACGAAACACAATTTTTTTCTAAATGCCTTTTTTCTATAATGTAGATCTTTTCGGACATGCTTTATTGCCTATGTTTTAATGTGCTGACTTTCTACATCTGCCCAACTCTTGGAACTGGTAATTATTCTACCTGCCCCAATTCTGTCTACTTTTATCTGCCCACTGAAAGAAAATATAACTCATTACTATAGAAATTCCCAGTGATTGAAAAAACTTCTATTTATAAAGGATCATTTTTCTTGCACTGCACACCTAACTCAAAAAAATCACATAAACAGAATCCTGAAAAAAATAATTTGTGTTAAGAAAGGCAGGGAAGTCCCCTACTTGGTTAGTCAAGTATGGCAGCTAAGAGGGCAAACCCCAGAGCTGGTTGGCAGTCTCGTTCCAGTTCTGCCTCTTACAAGCTCTATGATCATGGCAAAGTTACGTAGCCTCTTTTTGGGCCTCAGCATCCTTCACAATAAAATAGGTGATATAACAGTAGCTATCTCATCATATTGGTGTAAGAACTAGATAGTTATTTGCAGTATGTTTAGAATAGCATGTGGCAGGCAGGTATGGAGCAAGAGATACTTGTTCAATAAAGTGCATTAGACACAGACATTTCTATTCAAAGGAACATACAGCATATGCTACATGTAGCTCCTTCCTACATTTCAGGTCAGGTTCCTGCCTAAAACTCTTTTACAGGTGTTGAGCAAACCTTTATTGCTTTTATTTATAATAGTGATAAAATAACTATAATAAAGACCTAAGTTTATCTGGCCTCAGAATATCAGAACTGAATAGCATCACAAAGTTCTATGTGAGTTGTTTGGCCAACTGAGACATCTCAGGGGCATTTTCTCTTCAAGGATTTCCCAAAGCCTAGTAGACACTTCATCAGAACTAGTGCTTCTCTTTGGGGGGGTTCTATTTTCTTTCTATAAGACATAAAGATTACAAATACCTAAGGTAGTACTCTTATATAAATGAACCTTTCACTGAGGGCAGAAAAAGAAGTTTAAACATGTGGTCTGATCAAATGTTGGTTGGAGAGCTGAAATCATCTTTAAAGCATTTATACCTGTTAATGTTTGAGTCTCTACATTGCCAGTAAACTATGGCATAGAATCCTATCTAAGGTCAATTTTTACGTGTATTTACTCATTATTCCAATTTTCTGTGCTGGGACCATGTCAGGTGGTTTTTAGCAGCAGGGCTGGTCCAAACAACTTAGTTTGCAATCATGGGATGCTCTCATTCTATGCACACTGTCTCGCTTAATTCCTGATAGCCAAACATATCTAAAGTCCCTATAAAATGCACAATTTCAAAAATGTAACAATTTCAAAACCAAGTCAAATTGTCCAAAAGGTCAAGTGAACATTTAAGTACAGATAGCAAATGAAGGGCCTCTCCTTTAAAAATACACTTTACAGCACTGAAATGGCTGGGTTTACAGCCGCTCCCAGAAACTCAATAAAAGTATCTGGAAGAAGTGAGACTTGGCTGCAGAAAGATCAGTGAGGCATCAAAGCAGCAGAAATCTGAAATGAGATGAGGATAATTACAACTGACATACCACAAAACATGGAACTCACTTTAGACTGCTAAACAGAAGGACTACAGAAAAAGACGCAAACCCGCGAGTTGCTCAATGCATATTTCTATTCTGGAAGCCTTAGGAAGAGTCCTGTGAAAATACAGTTCTGCTAGTGCCCTCGTAAAATACAGAGCCTTGGTTCAAATGGCCACGACAAGTTCTTCATAATATCAAGATTAATACTTATAAAAAAGGCATTTAAAGTTCATCCAAAATTTCAAGGAAAAACTGCCATTAGATTGTAAACTATTTACTAATTTATTACTTTTGGCAGTACTGAAGTTTGAACTTGGGGCCTTCGCACTTGCTAGGGAAGCACTCTACTACTTGAGCCACACCCCCAGTCTTTTTTGCTTTAGTTATTTTTCAGATAGGGTCCCATTTTTTCGTTCAGGGCCAACCTTGAACCACAATCCTCCACCTATGCCTCCTGTGTAGCTGGGGTTACATGCATATACTACCATACCTGGCTTATTTGTTGAGATGGGGTCTTGCTAAATTTGGCACGGGCTGGCTTGGAACTACAACCCTCCCTATCTCTGCCTCCTGAGTAGTTGGGATTACAGTTGTGAGCTACTGTGCCCAACCTAAATTGCAAACTATTTAGAATTATTTTGAATGAAGACAGAATTTGGAAATATATTTACTGAACAACAAGAACAGTTTATTAACTGACCCACTCGAAATGCTAGTGGTTTTCCTTTATTTAATTGCTCTTGTTCTCGATGATGGACTAAGACTTTCTGAAGAAGCACCTGGGCTAACTCCTTTTTCCTGTTGTGAGTTGATTCTACAAGAGTTATGGCCTCTGCTAAGCAAGCCCTTTGCCCTTGGGTTAAGCCGGTATAGAGTTTATCCACAAATCTTTGCTCTTTGTCAGAAAGTCCTTCGGTGTGGTCCTTTAAGGTTGCTGGTGCACATAATTTTCTCCTTAAGCCATTTGACAGCAGCATCCACTTTGTGCAGTGGAGTCCGAGAGCCTTAAATGGCTGAGCACAGGGGATTCCTGATCTCAGATGGGCACTTGAGTGAAAGATGAAGTGGTAATGGCGGGGAGGTGTTTTTAAGAAGCCTTTTAGGAAATGCTGGTGAGGATGCAGTAGCAGCATGGGAATATTCATTTTGTTTGTAACTGAAGAAAACCCTGGATGCTGTTGACTCAGTGTGACTTGCAGTCTTCCTAGAAGAAAGAAAATCATATTTTTTGACAGTTCAATAGACAACAAGATACTGAAGAGTAAGACTAAGAGCATGGTACTTTTTCCACACTCTAAAAACACACATAATTAGGGTTCTTGGCAGTATAAATGGGTGCATTTTCTTTCTAAATTTAAGAGATAAATCCCTTCTCGACCACAGTTAATAATCAGAGTAACCCAAATCATAAAACTATTACTCTACTGTGAAGTGGAATTTACATTAAAATTTCCTTATAAATAAAAAACAATATACAAAACCACACTAGGGTAGACATTTTCTGTCATGCTTTTTCTTACATTCATCTTAACAATTTCCTTGGGTCAATATACCCGATTCTGAAGCTCGTACAAAAGATTCTTTAAAAAGAATTCTCTGATGCTGGCCTTTGATTCATTCTCTACAAAAGAAGCGTGATTAGTAGTGTGGCATTTGAGGCACAAGTTTAGATGCAGGTATGTACTCAAAAGGGTCACCGCCAATAACCTAGCTTAAGTATACAACCAGCAACAATAAGCCTTAATGTGGAGTGAACTGTGTGGGCTGTGTATTGACTCTGTGTGTGCGTGTGTGCGCGCGCACGTGCGTGTCCAAAAGGTGGCCAGACCCACCTGGTGCTTACTAAAAACGCACACCAAGGTTGGAACCACCATGGAACTGGACACAGCTTCTTTCCTTAGATTCACAGATATTCTCACTACCACTTCCAATTGTATTAGATAATGGAAGCCAACGTGGAAAACTGAGTCAGGATGCAGCAGAACCTTGGCCACTCATCTCTGCTGCCAGGCTCTCCTGACCTTGGGCAAGTCACTTAGCCACTCTGTGCTTCACTTTCCTCTGAAGTATAGACTAAGTAAGAGCACAGGGTGGTTGTGGGAACAAAATGACTTAATTCATATAAAAAACCTGGAGCAGGGCCTAGCACAGAGTAAGAGTTACATTAACATTACCTATTATTGTTATTGTACTACTTCATAAAACACTGGTAATGCTAGATCACCGACCTAACCTCCAGTGACAAACTAAGATCTATAGACAGATACATATAACCTACCTGGTTTGGGTTTAGGATTATTTGTAAATTTTGATATTCCTATACATCTTGGCACACTCAAATTACTTTACTGCTCCAAGTTACTTCTCTAAATGGTACTTTGAGGCCCTTTTATATGAAATTAATTTTAGCTAATAAACACTTCACTGGGGACAAAGAAGAGATGGTTTAAGATTTTTTTGAACTGATAATACTGTTTTCCAAATACAGTATTATTTTTCTATTATGAAGGAGACGTTATAACTTGTTTATACAAAATTAGTCTTATTCTAAAAGGATAATTAAACATATGTGAAAGTTTTTCTAAAAATATTTTAAAAAAATCCACTAGTATCCTTCATTTAATACAAGCACACAGATACATAGAAAGACACGTAAGACAAAAACCTTAGAGGAGAACTATCTGGGAGGCCTCTTTCAAAACCACCTTTAAGCACAATTCTCATCAACACCACCACTATTGCTAGGCTGGAAGTTCACAGACAAGAACTGTGTTTTCATTCAACTATTTTCTGAGCACATGCTGCTTTTCAGGTCCTGTGATAGATGACAAGAACAATGATGGTACTGATAGTAAATACAATGATGTTTGATGTTCCAGCCTTCCTACCTTAACTTCCCTAGGGTTGCTGTAACAAGTTACAATAATTACAACAATGCGATTAGTCATTTAATTCCACCCAAAAGATTATTTTTCTAAATAGGGCATAGTGTCACATTTACAGACTCTTGCATTAGGGGGCCACCATTTCACCCACTACACTTCTTAGTGGAATTCACCATTATTTTAACATAATCTTAGCATTTCAAGAGCTTACAGACTAAAATACATCATGTCCAAAAAAACAAAACAAAATACAGTGGAGACACATAAGATCATAGGAGCTACCTCTCCATGGGGAGGTCAAGTCAGGGTAGAGCCAATGCCAGAACTGAGTCTGAAAGCATATACAAGCTGAAGAAGAAGGTTAAGAAGGCTTTCGAGGGTGATGCAAAATCACAGTAAGGACTTAAAGTCTCTTCCCTGTCATATCAAAGAAGTTGAGAGAGTCAGTGAGGCAGGAGACTTGGGTATATGGCACTAGTGACAGAAGATGAAGTGGGACCAGGGTGTAAATCAAGGCCAAGAAACTATTTTATCTGTTGGCAGCTGGACAAATGAGAGACCTTTCTAGAGGTGATATAATCAATTTTGCTTTTTTAAATGGTAAGTCTGAGAGCAAGTGGTGAGAAGTCAACAGTGATGAGACTCTTGTAACACAGTCCAGTTAACCAAACACTAGGAATGATCCCTAGCAAGGATTTGGGAAGTGGGGTCATTAAGCGATGGAAAAGAGAAGCCAAATTCAAGCCCTTCTTTTCTCTGTTGAAACCCTCAAAGTCTGGCACACTGTAATTGCTAAAAACAAAACAAAACTAAACTGAACAAAAAAAACAAAACAGCTGCTGATCTGAAATTATTTAATTCCCCACTTGCTTGGCACTTTAAGGTTTATAAATCACCTTCAAATACTTTATTTCACTTTATTTTCCAATTCCATGAGAATAATATGCCAGTTATTTGTCACATTTAACAGAAGGGAAAGCCAAGAATGAGTTAAGTGGCTACAGTTACAGTCAGTGACAGGGCTAGGACTTAAATTCAAGTTGTTTGACTCTTTGTGGCATTTCTTCTTACAAATTTTATTAGGATAAAATGGAAAACTGAGAAGCATTTCTAGTTGTAAGGATGATCACAGCATTAGAGAAGCCAAAGAACAGAGAAAGAAGACATGCTCATAAGATATGGAACATTCTTATTACCAAATCTATGTTGTCCTATGTAGTCTAAAAGCAAATAAGATTTAAAATATGTCCTTTAATTTACAAGTTTTAGCATAACTACTTCTTATTACCCAAAGAAGCCCAAAGTAATGTATTAAGAAAGGGAAAAAAATCAAACCAAATAAATTATAAAGCATTCATTCAACAAATATCTGTGCATTTATTGTGTGACATACACTAGTCTAGCACTGGAAATACAACAGTGATCAAAACAAAAGATCTTGGTCTCATGAAACTTACATTCTAGTAAAAGAAGACCAATCTATTGTCAGTCAGTCAATCAGTCTGAGAAAGTTTAGGAGAGACAACCAAAGACAGGGTCAAATATAGGACTTTGAGTGAAAAGGGAAGTCACAGGACAGAGGAGAACTTGTTCTAACATAGTCCTAAAGGATCTCTGGATGTTTTATGCAGAATTCCAAAGGTGATGGTGGTGGAAGACAGGGTATAAGAGCAGAAATAAGAAGACTGCAATAGTGTAGATAATAGATGATGAAAGTTTGGAGCATGTGGAGGTGATGTTAGATCATTCCAGATGAATTCTAAAGGACCTGCTGTTTAAACAAGATGTGGGGCAAGAAAGGTAGCAGTCAAGAATGAGGCCACAGTTTTGTCCTAAGCCATAGAAAGCTGGAGCTGTCCTTTTCTGAACTGAGGAAGACTATTGGGAGTTGAGGTTAGAGTTTACTTTCCAATACATTAAATTTAAGACACTTACTGAACACATTAGGAGAGACTTCCAATGGAGATCTCCCCACCTTGGATTGGAATGAAGTATACAGGTAGCAAACATCACATGCTACCCCACTAGTATGTACAATTTTTATGTTTTCATGTACCAGGTAAAAACTGAATTTAATTTTTAGAAGGGCCAACAAGACATCCAAGTGGGATACTGTGTAGGCAAGTGCCTTGGTCATTCTTGGTGTCAGGGTAAAGACATTAGTATTTAGACATCATTAGAAAACTAGTAAATTTGTAAAAATTGGAAGTGTGATGCCACTTTTTTCATGAAACTACACACACATACACAAGTAATATTGTGGTACTTCTATGTCATTTTCCACAGACCATATTTTTCTGATTTTTAAAAAGCACCATATTGTTACTGTGGTTAGCCAAATAGTGGCACCTCCAATGATACTGATGTCTGAATTCTTGAAACTTGGTGAGCACGTTACATTATGTGGAAAAGGGGAATTAATGCATGCAAACAGAGTTCAGGTTTCTAGTCAGCTGATCTTAAGGTAAAAATATTAGGTTAGTTTATCCAAGTGGACCCAATGTGATCACCAAGGTCCTTGAAATGGAAGAAGGAAGCAGAAAGAAGAGCAGAATGATGTCACATGAGGACTCCACCCATCCTTACTGGCTCTAAAGATGGAGTAAAAGGGTCAAGAGCCCCCAGAGGTTGAAAAAAAGCAGGGAAAGGGATTCCCTGGAGATCCTCCAGGATGGAATGAAGTGTTACTGGCACCTGGACTTTAGCCCAGTATAACCTATGTCAGACATGACTAGGGTGATATTTGTGTTGTCTTAAGTCACTGAGTTTGTGATTAATTTGTTATAACAGCAATTGACAAAGTAATATAGTTTCTATGGCAACCAAAATACTTTTGAAGACAAAATTTAGAATTGTTAATGAGAAATGTCTAATAACTACTTCAGATTTAATTATCTTTGCCATAACCTATAACTTGCTTCCTTTTTCATTTAGATTTCTTCCTAACATGTGAATCAAACTTGATGAGTACTTAATCTTATCATTTATTGTGACCATCAATGTTACATCCAATATATTTATATGTCAATATTTAAAGACATAAAATTAGCATATACTCTTTAAAATCCGTAACAAGAATTATATGCAAGGCCAAAAAAAGGTGATCACCATGTTTTAGCTATGCTTCTATCCACAGACATTTTCATCAAAATGACCATATTAAGATTAGAAGTTCAACAGTACTCTGAAATCATGTGTTGTACGTGGGCTAAGCTGTGACCATGGCAGATTTTTTTTTACCATGTATGCTAGCATAAGAATTAGTAGTCCAGAAGAGGTTATTGCCCACTTCTGGCTGACAAGTCCTTCAATTC